GATGACGAAAATACGCCATAAATTAACAAGAACAATGTACTGTTGGTATACATTTATTTCCATAAAAAGAAACTAGTTTACTTATATAACAAAAATAACTATCAGTCAAATGACGTAAAATGAAATAGTCTCATAAGTATAATTAATGTAATTACATATTATGGCAGATATTTGACTGAGTGAGGTAACGAGAGAATAAGAGTGAAAGAGGTAGAGAGAGAAATATATCTATGAATCTACGTTGAACGCGATACCTTGACAACAGAGGAGAAAATAGATGACACACATACACACAATGTATGCATCAAGTTGACCAATTTAGTAAATCACACGCAATGTTCTCTAACAGTCAAACTAAATATACATAAAAAAAAACTCGATTATGACATTGCTTTTTATTGATAGACAAGTTTATTTATCACTAGGTAAGCTAGTACAAAAATATAATTATTCTGGTGAAAGTTGGTTTATTAGGGATGAAAGCTGAAGTTAAGTAACACATTTGCAGTGTGCGGTGTCGAACGCTTCCGGGTACTTTTACCTGAATTAAGTGAGTATGTACTGCATCATTGGCGATATTAATTTTCCTCAAATGTTTTATTACAAACCCTGACTTACAATAAACTTGAGTTTCTTGATGCAATGGGCCACTCGGAAGTCGCCAAATGAGGTCACGAAGTGGTGCCAATCGAAAATCTCCTGATGATTAGTTCATGTGATTGGTCAAGAAATGGTTTCATTTTCTAACGTTTACAATATATATATATATATATATATATATATATATATAAGTACTTATGGATGCGAATCATTTTTGTCCAGTAAACTTCATTCTTCACTCCTAGTCTTCTTACTCAGTAGTCGGCTCGGAGCTCGATTATAAGAAGTTTGTGTATCAGTATCCGTTTCTGGAATCACGGTTTATGACGTTTCTCATCCGACATGGAAGACGATTGTGGGTAATTCCAAATGTTTGAGATGAAATCTATAATGAAGCCCAAACTATTACACACAGCACTCACTGTCATGAAGAGAGGTGTCCGAAATCTGATACAGGACGTGCTACGCACTAACTCTCTTTAACTGACTACTTGAGCGAGAACACAGGAGTGAACGAGAAAGCATATTGAACTACGGAGTAAAATGGACAAATACTCATATATATACAACACTCTACCCCTTAAAAAATAACTCAATTTTATAGCCAATGAGATGCACTTATTCTTCAGGTCATCGATCAGCCTTCTCATTTGGCTGCTTCTGACTGGTTTACCATATCATTCACTGATTCTTAGATGCCGTATGCCTATTAAGCACTAAAAACATAATAAATAACTTCCGCCGACATGAGATGAGTTTGAATAATTCTCTTAAAATGACAGCTTGATTAGTTATGAAACAACTTTACAGCTAATAAGAAGAGATGTGCGATAAATAGAAATATTTCTCAACAGAAGTAACAGAAACTATTAAGATTTAGTAGTCTTAAGAAGTTTATTAGCTTTTTAAGGATTATTACCAATTTCCCGATTTTAGTATTGTAGAAGTACCATTGCATAATCTCAATAATCTAAAGGTTAACATATTCACACTAAAGACTTCTTGCACAATCTTTCTTGTAGACATAAATAGTTTCATAAAAATTCATCATCACCTAAAAAATCTTTGATAATAAATTTACTGAAAACTTATACAGATGAAATCATAGAGGAATCATCGTTATCGATATATCATATATGATAATAAAGTCAGGGATGAAGATCGTTATCTATTTTAATATCTTTACTTCACTAGTTTAATTATTATTCAATAAACCGTTAATAAGATATCTTTTTAGCGAATTTATTAGAATTAAAGTAAACTCGAACAAAACTGATTGATTCACGTGTTACGCAATGTACATATATATGTACTCAAAAGTGAGCATTTGATGCTTTTAACATTATCGTTTCTACTCTGAGATAACAAAAAAGAATTATGTTCTAACAATTAAAAAAAAAATTACAAATACTACACAAAGATACTTCTATTGTAAATTATTTTATATGATCAAAGATAGAATTGGTAAAACAGATAAAACAAAACGGTGAACTCAATCAATTAGAAAGCAACTTTTATAAATGAACTGTTTATAGAGAGAAAACAAATGATATTACAAAACGTAAGCAGTATTTACACAGTTAATACATCTGTCAACTTATTCTATTAGTAAATAAATAAAAACTGCATATATATTGATCTTTATGGATATAGATTATCTGTCATCCTGAACGTTTATGACAACCTAAACTGTTTTGGAAGAATCCACAGAGAATTTTTTAGTTAGGACTGAGGATCACAGGGTTAAGTTTTGCATCAGAAAATGGGATCAGTTATAATTTAAAAATGTTCTGTACTCATATCGATAAATGAATTTCGTAAAAACCTACAAGGTACAATATTTGATTAGCTCCTCCATGAAACAAGGCTTTAACAGGTTTAGGTTTGCTTCAGAACGAAAGGTTTGGTGGATTTCTTTGTCATATACAATTTAAAAAGTGAGTTGAAGCAATATAGATGAGTCAACTTCATGTAAAAATGCAGGATGATCTATTTGATTGGTTTGTTCATAAGATATAGTACCACTAAGTTACGGTTTGCTTCAGGGAATATAGAGGTATACACATCCTTATATTTTCAATTGGGTGTTTATATTCAACTAACAGAGATATAACTGAACATTTGTTACGTTTAGCACCATCATTTCTACAGTATCTTAATGGAAAGTGATTCTACGCAATCATTTTAAACTTTTCGAGCACCATACAAAGGTATTTCTACTGCTTGTAGTAAGTGATAAATGAATTTCGTGCAGAAGCCAGATTCTGATTGACTTATCCTTATCATATACTTTTATTGATGAAAGTCATCAATTTTTTAATTTCGCGCAACAACTCGAAAGTAGTTTTGTTGATTCGGACTGATCTATTCATATGACACTTTTAAATCATACCATATATATAGGGGGTTAATCAGTTTTATTGAATTCCAACAAGAAGTCATAATCTATGGACATACATATTAGGAATGAGGCTTTGGTTCATCAATCACATTGGATGAAGATCATCCAATACCTTGCGTTTAAATAAGTTGAATGAGTGAACTATCAAGTTCAAATTTAGTTTATGAAAAAATTGGAAATCGGTTGATAGAGTACTAAATCTTCACCGAGTGAGATGGTCAAGATATATGCTACGTATGTCAAACCACAACATAACTTGATGTGTTGTTCTAGTTGGTGTAGTGGTGAGTTGAGATAAAGCTAGAAGTAACCAAACGAAAGAGTGGTTTCATTTCACGAAGTCAGCGATTGACTTGAGTCAGTTGAGCAGATGCAAACTACCTACCTGATTGAGGTCCGCACAATAAACTTTTTCAGTAGTTATGGTTAGCAAGATTGGTTGACATTAATCAAAATCCGTTACAAAGGCACAGATTATTTCATTCTTTACTTTCATCTCCCTCTACATCTTCACTTCCAGTATTCCTTTATATACGCCATTCACTATGTCTTCTCCAACCGTATTCTTAATGTTTATTCTTTCTCATCCTCGTCACGACTAAATTATTTCTACTTTTTTTGTTATTCACCTTGCGAACTTCATGTCGTTAAGTTAATGTCGTCTGAAAACCTGAGCTAATGAGCATTACTGATAGACTTTATATTGACTATACATTCGCACTTTCACGAAGTTAATGTCATGTTCGATCTAATGTTGCGTCGTGGATGTGCATCTCGGAGGAGCACCGAAATACGACCGAACATTTTCAGTGCTTATCGACTTACAATTATGGTTATGCGATATCAGTTACTGATGAAAACTGACTATATATACATAAGCAGTGTCAGTGTTAATCTGTAAATCGAAGGAAGTTCTAGTGAGAAGTCATGACCAGTGGAGATAATTCGTGTCGGATGTGAAACAGAAACCTACGAAAGACAGTTGAAGGTGGTAGCACAATGTCTTGGATTGATTAAAGTTAGACATCGACATCACTGGATACCATCTCAGTGGTCTAGAAGTTAAGCGTTCGCGCGCGAGACCAAAAGTCCTCGGTTCGATTCCCGTAGGTGGGATCGTGAATGCGCACTGCTGAAGAGTTCTATTCTAGGACGAAACGGCCGTCCAGAGCTTCCAGGTTCTCAATGGCGGTCCAAATTTGATCGGTTCATTAGTCCAGCGAAATTCAACAGTCCCCACAATCTCATACTGAAAACCAGAGAGAGACAGATAAATTCATGAAGTGTAATGACCTCTACCTAAGAGATGATGCTACTATAATTAATATTATGAATAATATTTTGTAGTCTGACACAAACAGAAATAATGATCGATTAGCAGCTAAGTCAATTGATATTTAACTGTACTGCTACTAGTTCGAACTCCACATCTAGTTATTGTCACAATGAGCAAGCTGGTAGTATGACTAGTTTTCCACGCGTAAAAAGATGCTTCAAAACCGAGTAAATAAGAACCTGTACTCGGTGTTAGACAGGAGTGAATAAATAGAAAAAGTATTTGATTTACAGTATTTTTGTATTATCTTTATTGTAAGCTTCTAATTGAATCATTGATTGATGATACTTCTCTTACCGTTCATAATTATATGCTTGTTATTTAGTTTTATAACATAGATCACATAACAATGTACATATTGTGATAACTTATTTACAGTGAGTTATGAAATCGTGAAGTTGATATTTATGGCCGTGTGCAATTCGAGTAATAAAATAAACAGAATAAATCCAATGACTTTTTTCATGCTCTGACTGAGCAAACTAGAAACAGGAATATGTTGATCATTGATATAATTAACCCAAACAGACTCATCACTAGTGAAGTTAATAAAATAATGGACCTATTAAATAGGTATACACAAATGAGATCAATATCACTTGATAAATAAGTTACATTTAATTTATATCAATTGGATAATAATAATAATAATAAAAAACTGACCCGTACATTAGACTTCATGACATGACATACAGAAGTACTAGTAATTGTTGTTATTGGTACTGTTGACGATGATGTTGTGGTTACTGATGTTGAACAACAGTTACTATCCATCTCTTGTTGAGCTAATTCATATTGTCTAATCTTAGAGAAATGCTCTGATCGTCTATGCGCAGATTCCAAAAGTACCTGAAAAGAGAAATGAAAAAAGGGATTGAGTTAAAACAGAACTATTAAATTTATACGGATAAAACAAACTAATTATACTATAATTCACTAGACAAACATTTCTGTAGTTTGATAATTAGTACTAAGAATTTACGATGTATATATATATATATATATACGTATATACTACTTAAAACAATAAGTTTTCTAGGGTTAAGACCTAGACCTATACTTCTAATCAGTGGTTGAAAACATTTAAATCTTGTAGTTGCATTTCAGTCGAAAACTGTGATTAAATTATAGCGAGTACATAGATTATCATGTAAAATCAAACTCAACAATTCTGTCGTTAATTTCAAGCTTATTTTATTTTTTATAATCAAACCAGATAGGTAGGTTAATAAACATCTGGACTTTTCGATCACTGAGTGGCATAATTAATGTTATATTGACTAGTATTTAATGCTGATCAAAAGTTATTCAAGTTGGAATATAACACACAGAATATCAGTTTCATCGAGATTACAGATACGCCTTGTTTACAAGCACCGACTAATCAACCAGTTAGTAATAAGCAGCGTAGAGCCTGTCACCACACATGTGTATCGGTTCAAATTCCCATGCTATACTAAAACAACAAGATGAATACCAAAAAGCTGAACTTAGTTGCAAAAAAGAAAAGATTAAGGTTAGATATACAAAAAGTAAGAATTAATTCAAGAAATAACTTCATAACTCAGGATCCGGGAGTAAACAAACAACGAATGGATCAGGTCACAGAGACTGATTCGGGGTTATGTCACTCAACGTCCCAAACCACTGGTTATGGTAAGCATGCTAGCCCCGACCAGAAGATAATCTACACGTGTACTAACATAACTCAGATGAAGAGTCAACAATTTGATGGGCTGATATCACATCTCGGTTTATCTACCTAGTTATGACACACGGTGTCCAAAATCGATACTGATGCAAAAGGTTCCTATATGCAAGCTCCCAATCGGCTAATGAGTGAGAAAACTACGAGTAAAGAAGAAAGCTTATTGGAATAAACCAAATCACACGCATAAGTTCTCATTTACCATACATTTATGTCCACTCCTTAAAATATGAAATCGTTTCTTCACCAATCAGGTAGATCGACCATTAGATTTTCGACTGGTACAACTTCGTGGCATTTTTATTTGGGGACTTCTGATTGGCTCATTTTAGTACACCCCTATTTTTCCTCTAGGCTGATTCGACGCCAAACATTCTATTTTGTGGTAGGTGGCAGTTGAGAAACTTGGATGCACAGAGTCTCACATCCGACTGCCACTTCCAACCGCCTGATATCTTAGTGACCATGGATTGGTTGTGACTAAATAGCCTTGAAAATAATAACTAAGATCATTCATAAAAAAATCACAATAGTAAAATATCAAGCAAGCATCTCAATCTGGGCACAACACATACAGAAAAATGTGGAGTAGAAACATGTTGTCACATGATAATAGTAAAATGAAAAGGAACTACGCATTGCTTACGTGTAATTCACGAAAGATATAGGTCAGTTCCTTTACTAATGGTATTAGAATACTATGTAAAAAGTTCAACTGACTACTGGATTTCACTACAAGATCTGGATCCATATAAGGGGCAACAGGAAGACCAGCTTGTTTTTCTGCTGCAGCCTAAAGAAAAAAGGATCAAACAGAAAAACAGGTTGAAAGAACAGAAGGTTAGAAAACAACAACTTTGAGACGTATTGGTGCAGTTATAACATACAAACACACATGTTATGTGTGATAATAACGTTTCATAATCCAATCGCAAAACAAATTTACAATTAAACTGAAATAAGTCGTTAAACAGTGAGGCGTAGGGTTTTTAATGATTTTAGGCATTTAACTTTAAACAGCTAATTCGCAGGTTCGAGTCTTAGTCTATCTACTTCAGTTTGGGTAATCAGATAGTAGTGTTACTAGCCTTCTTATTACGTATAAATCATGGCTCAAAGCCAAGTACATAAACTTGAACTTGATAATTGAGTTACATCAGCTTTAGTTTAACAAACTTCATTATAGTAACTTCCGCTTTCGCACTCATCTTTTCCTGACAGCACTTGGGATACGTAGAGTATAATTATTCAGTTACGACTAACTTCATTTCAATCATCTTTCTATGTTGGGTAGAGTTTTTAAAAACTAAATAGATGAAACATTGTTTGTTTTATGAACAACAAATATCAGTGATTACATCACTGCATCAACCATTCTATAATGCAAAAACGATTAGATGGACATCCCGAAACAATTTAAGTTAGACGATTATTGAAAAACTGGAAGCACCGTTAGATGCTAGCTCAGTGGAATATAGTTTAATCGTTCGTGTTTGAGACCAAAGGTTCTTAGTTCAATGACCAGTGGGAGTTGTGGATGCCCACTATTAAAAAATCTCATACTAGTGCAGTGAACGAGAACACAAGTGTGGACAGTTGAATGTATTTGAGCACAAAATTACAGAACATCTTACTAAAATCTGAGGACCATACAATGAATAGTTGAAATCATGAGTCAATTGAAACTAGACCACCATGGGAAACCTGGAAGCACTGAACGGCCGTTTCGTCCTAGTATGGGACGCCTCAGCAGTGCGCATCTATGATCATGCCCTCATGAGACTCAAACCAAGGACCTATCAGTCTCGCGAACAAGCACTTAACCATTAGACCACTGGGCCGGCATCCAGCGGTGTTAATGTTTAACTTCAACCGATCCACGAAATTGCGCCACCTTACACCATTGTCTTCAGTGAGGTGATAACCCACAGCAGACCTGGTTGAACACTATTGGTCACGGCTTCTCACCAGAACTCCAGGAAATGCCTCTTGAAGTCAGTCACTAGTAAGCAGATGATTATTTTAGTGATTTCAATCGTTGAAATCATTAGTCAATTGAAGCTAGACCACCATTGAAAACCTGGAAGCACTGAACGGCCGTTTCGTCCTAATATGGGACTCCTCAGCTTCAACTGACTAATGATTTCAACTATTGAAATTACTAAAATCTCCACAAAACCCCTTCTGATGCAGTGAATAATTAATTTGCAAAACGTCAATCAATTGTCTCAAACTTCACTGCTCCTTTTGCATATATCAGTCAATCGTCTCAGACTTTAATGTTCTTGCATCCCCATACCAATTGCTTTCTGTTCCCGTCAGAGATCAATTGTCGACTCAAATCCCATAATGGTAGACGTAGTAAAAGTATAAGCAGTAATCGGAAACATTAGGCTTCGAGCATCTTATTCAAGGAGTAGAATACAGTAAAATAAATTTGGAAAGAGAAAAAAACAAAGGGATATGAAGAATTCAGAAGATTAGAATTTGACAGAACACAAACAGTGGATGCACCTGCGCCATTGCAAACCATTTTCAGCCATGTCATTCAAGGTCACTAACCGTCGGTTGCTATCGTCTCGCGGTCCCCAACAAGGTAGTCTACACCTACCAACATGGCTCAATTCAATTGTCAGTGACTTCATGGACTTGTGCCATGTTTTGGTCTGGCCGCCCCTAACTTTCTTCCAACCTACTCCTACACCATAAAACGTCGCACGTCGGGGCATTCGGTGGTTGGGCATACGTAACACATGTCCCAGCCATCTCAACTGATGAAGTTTCACTACTTCATCAATTGATTTGCCATCCTTACCTAGTACCCGTTTCCTAACAACTGCATTACTTACTCGATGGTCCCAGGATATACGAGCAATGTTTCGAAGACACCTGTGATCGAATACTAGTAACCTACGAATATCCTCTGCACTTACCGGCCATGTTTCATTGCTATAAAGTAGGACGGAACGAACTGATGCACAGTAAACATGTCTTTTGGTTGATAGACGAATATCTCGCCTACACCATAAATGACGCAAGTTGGCAAAAGCTAGTCAAGCCTTCTGTATCCATGCTGAGATTTTGTCAGACACCAGACCACGAGGGCCAATGAGACTCCAAAGATAAGTGAAGCGGTTGACACGCTCAACTACTTCACTCCCTATCACTAGTTCGGGTGTCGATGCAACCCAATCCTAAAGCAACGTTTTGCATTTCGAAGGGGAGAATCACATGCCGAACATGCTTGCATTGTTGCTTAGAGTGGTCAGAAGACTGCATTTTGTCAGCGTCTTCACCAAATAGAACTATGTCATCGGCATATTCTAAGTCAACAAGTGAATCTCCCGGTAGAAGTTCAACCCCTGGAAATTTAGATGAGGAAAGTGTTATCTCCAAAAGTACGTCAATGACAAAGTTGAACAAGAATGGAGAGAGTGGGCAGCCCTGACGAACACCACTTTAGGTAATCAACTCTGATGACAGTTCGCCATAAGCTCTCACTCTACCAGTTGTGTTCGAGTAGAGAGCCTTTATAAGGTTAATGTACATCTTTGGTACTCCTTTCAGTGACAAATACTGCCACAGAACCTGACGATCAACAGAGTCAAATGCCGCCTTAAGGTTGAGAAATACTACGATTGTGAGGCGTTTGTATGTGTGTCTATGTTCTAGGACTTGACGTAGTGTGAATATCTGGTTTATACAACAGCTTTAAGTCATACTCATATCGTATGAAAGCTTAGTGATATATCATCAAACGATTTAAACTATAGGATTCAAATCCAAAATCTGAATAGTTGAAAACTAAGTGAGTAAATTATTAATCTATCATTCTTATTCATAATTCACCATTGAATAACTATCATTATTCAATTATGTAAATAAGAAGAAATGAAGTTTTTTTCAAATAACCTATAATCAGAACAGTTTTATATTAATATTATGGATTAGTATTGATTTTTACAGTTTTCCTTCCTTTCATAAAAGAAAACAATAGTTAATAGGAAACGAAATCATTTTAGAGGGGAAAAAAAATGGTAAAAATAAACAATTTCAGGTCAAATGAAGATAGATAGACATAATTGGCAAGAAAAATAAATTATAACTTGGCATACAAATTATAACCCCTTATAAAGATAAACCTATGAGTTAAAGTTGATAATGAAACAATTTAAATTTCAACTTTATTAATAAATACAATGAACTAATTCTATTGTTCATTTTTAATGGAATGAGAAAATTGCAAATCTAAGAAGAAGAAAAATGTTACTCTTTGTCTTTGACCCCTCAAATATTGAGGTGATACAGTATTTCATAAGTTATGAGTGACTTGTTGATTTTAACAAGAAAATAGTGTTTTAATTATCTGTATGAAGTAGTGTAAACCGTTAACGAGTTCGAGGAATTTATTGAAAAGACTTGAGTCTAAGCTGTATGCTAGCTGGTACTGGTTAGTAAGACATAGTTGGGATTTTTCTCAGCAACTAATACTATCTATAGAGTTTAAACTCACTCAATAAATTAAGCTATTCAAGTGATGACTGATTTGCTGTAAGACTGAAATATTTACATTAGGCAACCGCTAAGTAACATCAGAACATAGTGCATACGATGTTGAATCATTCAGAATAATGACTACATTGTAACTTGATCGGTAGAATTCGAACAATACAAGGCAAAAATGATACTGGCCGAACACTAGTCAATCCTAGTGGTGTAGATTTTTTAGGTTCAGTAATCAAAGTGGTAATGATAAGGTTTTATATAGAAAAATATAGTTTGTGTAAAATCACTAATCATGAATTACAATGATCGTATGAAAAACACCTAATACACGAATATGACCGTGATAATTGAAGTGTTTTGTTTCTACATATTCCCAAAACAAAACTGTAGGTCATCCACCGGGCGGATATAATCCAGGAGCTATTTAGGTCATCGCTGAACTGATGACCGTGACAGAGATATGTGATGTCATGTATGAATTTCTTATTGTGGTGACCTAGTCAAGTTATTACTCACCAGAGCAGTCGTTTCTTGACAGGTCTTAACATTTCAGAGGTATCAGTTGGAAAGTCGTAAGATTAAAGGAGAAAGTCTCCGATTGCAAAGATAAGACATTACTTCCAATCATGCAAACGTGTGGCAAAACGGAAATGTTGATCGTGAATAGAAAACATCTTCAAGGACGCTACCTCCTGGCAAATAGTAAAAGAGATTGGAGAAAATTCGGTCCTAGAAAAAACACACAAACACACCTTTAACGTCTTAGGAGTTTCCAGTGATAACATTTTTAAAAACATACAAAGTTTACACACTGGAAAATGTTTACACATGATCGGTATCATTTAGCCATTGATGATTACACTTTCATTTCGATAAGATCATATCAATAACAATAACATTCTTTAAGAAGAAATATCTTTTCAAGGTATGAACCGTCGAAGAGTTCAAATCGTTCCGTACCTCATCATAAGTAAAGCTGAGAAGTTACAAGATTGAAAAAAAACTACTCAACAGATTTTTAATATTTCTAGTAGTGAGTAATAACATAAAATAAACACCTATAAATATCATTATTATTTATCTATGGAAACATTATACAAAAAAATTATTACACAAACCTGTAGAAAAAATTCTTTGAATAAACAATCCACCCAGACATCAGCAACTAATGGTGAACGAATCTCATTTGATATATCGCATACTTTCAACAGTATCATTAAAAGTCTTAATAAATATTCTGGTTGTTGATTAATTAATGAAATTAATGAAGACTGGATTAGTGATGCATTAATATGACCATAATCATTATTATTAATATAATCGCCATTATTGTGATCACTGTCATTATCACCACCAAAATTAACAACGTTATTATTATTATTATTATTATTATTATTATCAACATGCTGATTGATACATGAATTATATTGGTCATATTCTTCTGTTCGATTTTGTCTGTCCACCCCTGTTTCATCATTGTCATTATGGTTAGGTTGATGACGATGATGCTGATGATAATGATCATGGGAAGTTGTTAGTGTAGGCTGTTGTTGTGTAGGCGACGGTGATGAAGGATCAATATATGATGATAATAATTGAAGAGAAGGAAATATTGAATCAGGATTTTTCAACTCCCCATGTTGACTATTATCACAACAAGAATGATCAATATTTTGGTGATTATGTTTTATACTACTAATACTACTACTACTCATATCCATAGATAATGACTGGCAATTCAAATAGACCTGTTTTCGTAAAACTTGAAATTGTGACAGACATTCTGAATGGATGGCCATATCTGTGCTTAAAATACATCTATGTGAATATATTTATATATACATATATATATAAAATTTGAGAAAAAGGTAATTTCGTCACCATCAACCCCCCGGAACCCAATCCAAAAAAGAAATAGATTTCCAATGTTTTGATTGTTTCATTTTAAGAGGTATGAAATATGTAAAAGAAAAAGAAAAGAAGTCAAAGAGAGAGAAAAAAAACGACGAAACATTAGAACGAATTGTTTTGTCTTTTGTCAATTATATGAAAAGAAACCAAAAACATAAATTTCAACTCAATTTTTTCGCTCTCTCTCTCTCTCTCTATGTGAAACACCTTTTTTGGCTAAGAGAAGAGAATATATCATGATAAATACGTCACATTATTCATTATTTGGTGAGATAGAAAATAAATTAAAATCAATAGACACTTGAATAAAAACACACACTCTACTCTTTAGAATAGATATTTCAAGAATACTGTGAACATATGACGAGGATAATAATAAGTAAGCAATGTTGAAGTGAAAACCTTACTCTTTTACTAAGATGATAAATCGATTAAAGTTAAACAACTGTTGAAAATCTAAAAAAAAATATTAAAAAGTTGTTCGATGCTATTGTCAGCAGATTTTTTTTTTGTTTTGTTTTAAGTATAGCTATTTAGTCACAAGTTTATATTAAAATTGGATAGTAACTAGCAATGGAATATAGGATATGTGTTACATCGTATTTGAAACTAGTCAGTTAAGTGAATTTGAATCTGGCTACCGTGTACAATCAGTCAGCTTAGTAGATAATGCGTTGAATGTTAAAAGTGAAACGTATTGCGTCTCAGTGTTAATGTGGTGAACATGCAACACGAGGATGAAGATATACCCTGTAAACAAGTTTCAAATAGCATTAAAAGGATGTACTGTATTCCACTACTAGTCGCCCTACATCCACCACTATCCAACTTCAATATCTCCAAATTACAATGAGAACAAATAAATGGGATATATATCATAACTAATAAGTATATACGAGTCACATTCTGATTAGTTTAGTAACAACAAACAAAAATCAATAGAGTATATACATTTCTAAATTGCTTGTCCATTTTACCTGACCTTAAAAAATTTAATATCTTTTATTCATTTTTGCATTGGTTGCTTGAATCTTCCTATTGATGTTTAGGACTGCAATTGATCAGTCTCTTATTAGCATATGTGCATACTGTACGGATTGCCTCGATACTGCCGTAAGTCACAAGTATTATAAGCAGAGATAGATGGTGGTTAGCAATGAAATCCAGGATGCGTGTTTCGTCGTATTTGGGTACTCACCAGCTGGATTTACCTTCAATATCTTTTATGTTAAAATATTGATGAGAAAGAAATGTTTCACTAAATAAAAGCCTTACAGATATGCATAAAGACGTTAAAGAAAATAGATACAGACAAAGTTGACCTTAAATGTAAAATGGAATAATGAGAGTAAAAAAAACAAATTATCGTTACAATAAAATACAAATGGCTCCATTATCTCTCACGCATAAACAAAGTTCTAAGATATGGATGTTATGTTTAAGATAGAAAAAATGTACTTAACAAAAAGATAATAGTTGCATATATGTATATACAAATCGACAAACCTTATCACAGATCTACGAAAATGACGTGATTCATTTGGTGTTAATCCACTGATAATATTTGCCGTAGGATTGTTGTTGATAAGATCGAATGCTGTCATACAATGATGATTCTCCAATGGTGATATATCATTGTAACGTAGAGCAAGCCAAGTGCCAGCATTAATCTATTTAGATAATAATAATAATAATAATAATAATAATAATAATAATAATAATACTCTTTGTTACTTCATCAAATTCTTTCACTTAATTATGAATGTGATGAGAATATAAACGCTGGTATGTGTTGCGTAAAAAGTTAATTAAATATGTTTAATTGAGTGATTTATAGTGAGTTATTGTGGAAGGATAATTCAATGAAGAAAAAAAACCAAACAAACAGATATTTCTCCATAGTATTACAAATTATATCATACAAAGATATTCAATGGAATTACCAAGCCTTTCGTTTCATTATCATATACTACTCAATTGTAATAATAATAGTAGCAATAATGGAAAACAGTATAATTATTAATTGATTTGATTTACATGTTTAACATTCAGATACTTAGAAAATAAAGCAAAATGAATGAAGAAACATTTGTTTGCAATTAACTTCACATTATCATTATCACTATACATCCACACCACTATAATGTATGTATCTAGTCCAGATTTATAATTTCTAGCTGTTAATATATCAATACTATAATTGATTAATCTCTGTTGATAAATGTACATCCTAAACAGATTTCCTCGATTTGATCATTCTAAATATTATAAAACTTACAATTAGAGGGCTATTACTAGGTAATTCGCTTAGGATATACATATATCAACAGAGACTGGTCAACTATAATCCTGAATATCACCAACAACAAATTATAAAACTTTATTAATCATGCCTTATTTGACATGATGGTTGGGCTTATATAACATGACGACCTAATCAATCTACATTGGCTTGAATATTCATCCTTTAGGTCTGACACCATACAACCTAGGTCGGTTGGACAGAAGATTAAAAGAAGCAAAGTATGTGGTCAGAAAGTGAAATTGTGTTGTCTAATGTACATGTGTTTAACGTTACTAATGTATTTCCTTCAGATAACCAGCACATACACAACAATGCTCTTATCACCACAACAAGAATGGGTTAAAAATAATTGACCATAAAAATATTACATCTCATATTATCTCATTAATTTTTGTAACCAGCATAAGGTCTGTAAAGTTTAATCTTTCCAAATATTAAAAAATAATAATTTATTCTATACTTAAGTTAAAAATAAACAAATGCATAATCTTGAACAATCTAATTAGTCAAACTATACGAATTAGTGTCGATAAAAAAAGCAAAACAGTAAGGTTGTTAGTTTTATATGTTTCATCGTCATTCTCGCATAGACCAGTAGTCGATACATTTAAGAAATAGTTATTCATTCATTCACTCTCCAAAACTAAATTATAGTACATAAGAATTATGATATAATATGAATTATAGATTCTCAATCAACTAGGTTACTATTTAAAAAGATAAAAACAAATTATTGATTAGTAGTTAGCCGCTCAAGGTTATTTGTTTGTTCAAATTTTGGGACAAATGATTGATTTTACCGGAAATTTTTCATTTCATCACCGTTAATGGATCATAATTATTTGTTTACATGAATTTATTTCGTTTTATTTATTTGTTATTTACCACTTGGTTATAATCTATCCATATGTACGATTTGAATATTTTCATCAACATAATTATCGTTGAATACTATTATTATTATTATTAGTAGTAGTAGTAGTAGTAGTAGTAGTAATAGTAGTAGTAGTAATAGTAGTAGTAGTAGTAGTAATAGTAGTAGTAGTATTGTTACTGTTGATTTAAACAAGAAAGATTTAGTCACCTACATCAAGAAGCAAGAAAATCACATACATTCAAACATGTAATGCTAATGATTATCGACTACTTGAAAAAAAGTAAATAATAATTGATAACCTATTTGCAATTTTCATCTACCTACAAGAGTAAATAAATCATTCCTTATTATATTACTAGTAGTGGGGTAATATTAATATTAGTATTACGGTGATTATTAATGTAAATGTGTAAAATCAAATGTTATGACGTCAAAGTGAGAAAAAAAAGAGAAGGCTGAATGAGAGAGAAACACATAGCCAATCAAAATTCGACCTTGAATTTAAACTGACAGGCCTGAAGGGCATGTCTATCATTATAATTGCTAATAATAATACAACCAATATCATCATCATCGCTACGACCACCACCACTATCAAAATCTATCTTGATTTGCTTACGTCAATACAAATATTGTTGAATGAACTAAAGAGTAAATGGTGACGCGTGTAAAATTTAACTGAGACACGATCAAGTTGAATGTATCAACTAACTAACTAACTAACTAGTTTACCTAGAAGAATATCTATCAGCTCAAAAATCAATAATTATTTTAGGCTACCTAAACTAATCTTTATCTCTCTCTCTCTCTTATTATAGAATAAAAAGAAAGAAAGAAAAAAGAATTGAATGACTGATAGAATGATCCAGATCAGAGATTTTAACAAAATAAAAAAAACAATTTGCCTGATATCATAATATAAATTAAAAAAGTTCAGACACATCATTTTGGGTTGGTAAGATAGAAAAGCTATTACGATATATGTGAGAGAGAGAGAGAGAAGAAAGAGAGTGGAAAGTATATATATATATATATATATATATATATATATATATATATATGCATATTAATTACGCTGAAATGATGCAATAAGTCCCTAAATGAGGACAAAAAAAAAAACACAATCAACTTTAGTTTTTATCATGCTCTGCTTCTTGATTATCTTTTTCTAAAAAAGAACCATGTTCAAATGTTGAAATTAAAAAAAGGGTGGAGGTTGTAACAATTAGTACGAGAAAACACATACGTAGAGAGTATGAGAAATAAACGTTGGTTAAAAGCAAAATACATACAAGTTTAGATAACCACTTTTTAGTACTTAAAATTAACTGAACTCTTAAGTAAATAGATTAAATAAGATTCGACGTCATTACACTGGTGTTTTACAGTTGATTAATACAAATCAGACTGTTACTTAATATTTATTATATTCTTAGAATTATAAAAAAGATAAGAACTGCCAAAAAACAGGCCTACCGATACAAATCAGTCTTAAAAGTAGGTTTCAAACGCAATTTGTAAAGTACATACATGAGTCGAAAATTCATCAGAATTAATGTTATACGTATATAATCTGAAACGATTATGCATTAATTGAAGGCTCAAAATGTTCAGAGGTTGTGATACAGCATCAACAGTCTACACCTACAAACATAATCACCTTGATAACATTTTAGTCAATTGACAGAATGTTCCTTCGAAAATTAATCAGTTTCGAAAACAACAATATACAATAGTGAAGTTTCACAAATCTTAGTTTTATGCTGGTGTTAACAATTCAACGATCTTTTTTTGAGGTTATTCACGTCCGTAAGTTATATTTAACGACGAAATATAATAAACTACACATTGTATAAATGATTCAAAATAGAATAAAAAAGGTTATTTGATTTGATTCCACAAGTTAAAGGAGTTGATAAGGACAAAGTGAATATGTTAGGTGGTTAGAAGTAGCCAGTATGAAACCATGGATTTAAGTTTTTGTGCTATTTGGTACTCGTTATAAAGAGATATCCATAATTTTGACAGAACTGATGCTGCATGTGAGATTAAAATCCGCGTCATTAGGTTTCACAGCTTTAGACGTTACTACTGATCTATTCAAGTCACAATTGACCTCATACAGCACTGAAATATATTTACAATTGATTGATCACTAAGTAGTGAGCAATTTCATGCTTATCTAGTCCTTTATCTGTGCTGTGATCGAGTTCTATCGATCAATTTTATATTTTAGAGTATCTGATAATACACTTTTGGAAATAAAAACTAAATCATATATGATAAATATTTATTGCGATGAATGAATATTGATCTATGGAATAACATACAATTGAATTAACTATTATGAAGTATTATACTGATAGAAAAAACATGAGAACATTAGATAGATGATGGGCACAGATATCATTCAATGTAGGACACGATATATACATATACTAAATGAAATTGGATACGCTTCACATCATAGTAACAACAAAATAATACAAGGGAAGATAAGGAACAAATGTATGCACACCATATTTTTGAACTATGTTGCCTAGAGTTTGCAAATACTGATCAAAGTTATCTCGCCAAAGTCAATAATTATAAGGTTTGCACAGATCAATAGGAGAAGACTTCACAGACTGATGCTATATGTATGTCTTGACTTAATCACATACATCCTTTTTGTCCAAACTAATCGCCTAAAACTAGCAATGTATGCAGACTATAAGTGTGTAACAGTTACCGCACGCGAGATAGTGGACGAGCAATGATGAGGAATCCTATACTAGGACGAAACGGTCGTCCAGTGCTTCCAAGTTTTCAACGGTGGTCTAACATTGATTGATTCATGATCTCAATCAAAAAATTATTCAATGGTAGTTTATAATTTCATCCCCAACGGTTTATCATTCTCACCTAATATTCTACGCCTAACGTAAGCAGTGATAAAACAATTTGATTACTTCTTCAACCAATTCTCTAATAAAAACTAACTAAAGTAAATTACAGGTTTAAGGGAAGTGGAAAAAGAAACAGTTCACTAACCAACTAACTCCCATAAAAACTATTATTATTAACAATAACATTATTCGTTTGATGAGCTAATAATCAGTTTTGGGTTAATGAAGAAGCATATCGACTTTACGAAAAAAAGACGAAACTTATAACAGTGTATGTAGACACACACACACATATGCAAACATACAAAAATATACGTTCATCATTCTATAAGATAGTTTATCATCGAATCGATTTTTGATAATATCAGTTATAGAAGATTCGTTTTCTTTAAAGAGAAAAAAACAGTTAAATAAATCTGAAACTATCATCAAAAGAAGTTTATAAATAGAATACTCACTTATCTATATTATTATTATTATTACTATTATTATTATTATTATTATTATTATTATTAATTCATATGATACTATACAATTAGCCACTGCTGATACACTATACTTGTTTCATACTGATTATTAGATTAATTGGCATAGTTTTTAGTTAGTACAATAAAAAAACCCAGTGATTTCGTATAGAGAGGTTTAGATGAACAGAATGATCGGGGAAAAAAAGAAAGAATCGAAACAGAAAAGAAGAGAAGAGACAAGGGATAAGAGTAATAACAACAACACTTGGACTCCATATGCCACTATTGGTTATCAGTTGTTAAACTGATTGAATTCAAATAAAAGATTTTTCTTTCATTGTTTGTCTTTAGCTTACATTCTATAATTATAGATTTGATAAAATTTATTTGCCACAAGGCAATGATAATCTTTACGATTATTATCAATATCGCTAATATTATTACTAGTATTACTGTTATGAATCGATATTAATTGGAGGAAACCAATCGTGTCATTGTGCTACAACGGGATAAATGAGGAAAAAAATTGAACTTATCGCTTCTCTTTTCAAAATCAGTTAGTTTGTTGGGATAGGAATACATTGTCAGAAAGTTAGGGGCAGACAAATCATGGACTATGAAGTCATTAACTGTTGGATTGGGCTATATTGGTAGATGGAGACCATCTCGGTTAGGGTCTAGTCAATTATTATGAACAATAGTTGTATATATCGAGTGAAATGGCTTACAATCGGTCATATTCAGACAGATGTATTCATTATTCGCCTTCCTTTAGATCTTGAGTTTTAAAGTTATCTTATGCTACTTATTCCATAAATTCACCATTTCTACTCACATCATATTGTTCGTGTCTAAAATTTTCTACTAACACAAATACTGTTACTAACTCTACTATTGTGAATTGTCTTGATAATTTCATCTGTCCGTGGTGATATGATGTGGCAACTTGAATTGATACATATATGCAGAAACTTCTAAGCTGTCTAACTGTCAATCACCATCAATATATGAGAGGAAATGGTTGTTATTATGATATTTTTTCGAAAAATTTCATATTTGAATATAATCATAGACTGATTGTTAACTGACCTTCAAATTAATTAATTTGTTTAAAACAAATCGCAATACAAGCGAATACTAAAATAAATATGGCATCACACCAATAACTGAGTGAAATTGTGAAAACATATAAGAAGTAGTATCAGTAAAATGAATAAATGAATAAAAAATAAGTGAACGAGAATAGGTTATAGTAGGAAAGACAGTTCAGTTGAATACAACCGGGAAGAATTTTTTCGGTTATAAGAGTTTCTATCACTTTTATGAGCAATGTAGAGGAAAAATACAGCAGGACCGCCATTGGCTTCTATTCTGAGTCATATCTAATAAAGCTTAGACCCGTTGAGTCGCACTGCCTCTAGGACTCCAGCTGGGGAGTCGTGACGAATAGACAGATGCCAGTTAACACAGCTTTCTTTCATACCGTGGCGTTATGTCATAAGCTGACTGCCTCTCCGCCTTTTTAACCCATCCCATAACCAGCAAATATTACACGATACGAAAGTTGCTTGGATAACAGATGGAGTTGTTGTATGTATCGTTTGAGTAAGAAGCTGAGCAGAGCGAACAGAGAATTTCCTTCATAATTACTCATTATCATATCTGTGTATAGGCTGCCCGAGCGCCCAGGTTGGAGTAGGTGGTATACTTAAGAGGGTACTATCTTCACTTTTAACTTAACCGTCTAATTTATAAGCCAGTGAGTAATTGAGGAAATAAAATCTCACAATAGGTCTATAAGCTCTTTGCTCCCACAGTACGCAGAAGCTTATGTTAACCATTAGTTTGAAATCAGGGCTTTCTAACTCCTCTGATGAGTTCCCCTGTAATCACTAATCCGGCTCAAACCCCGGAGATTCGCTATCCGTCCTCTCACTTAGGTAAACAACACCATCAGCATAAAGCAGTGAGTATAAATGAGTGGCCAAATGAGAGCATTTATAGAGTACGATGAGTATTTCCCCACTCCCGGCCATATCAAGAAATATCTTCAAAAAAGATACATATTCACCACTGTTTACTTCTTTAAATGAAACCAATGAAAATAAATGTCTTTATGTACATCAGTCGTTTTAATAGTTTGCTAGGTAATAGTGTAAGTAAATTATAAAGCTTAATGCTTGCTTTCTAAACTATTACCTATCCACTAAATTGTTAATAAAAATAAGGCTGATTTATATTCAAATTATGTTTGGTACTCTACAGAACACTCATAACTACTTCCTAGAAATTTTAAAATCGAGAAAAATTGTACAGCGTAAACATAGAATTAATGGTTCACTTCTATGGTCAGTTAAATTATAGAAGTCAAGGGTTTTATTTTGAAATGGTTATTAAGAGAGTTTAAAAGTTTTGGGAACTTCTGCAAAACATATTCAAATTAATGATAATTTTGTCATGTACTACACCTCATTATAGTTGTGCATGTTCCTTGAGAAGCGTAGAAAACAGGTCATATATAATGGATATTTAAAAATAACAAGAGACATACAATAGGTTTATTACATAAATTTTATTAAAATTGTGTGTTTAGTATATTTGATGTGAGGTTAGCAGTAGAATCCAGGGCACGTGTATCATCCAATTTGGAATTCGTCAGCAAGATGCATCTGCATCCTAGTGTTGGGGTCCATATCGTAGCTTGAACGTGGTACTTTTCGCTCTATACGTTCGACGCATTATCCACTAAGCTACTGAATTGTTTACTGTGTCTGAAAGTATTAGTGGTGACTTGTAAATTCTTATTGTTGGTATTTGGGACTGTAATCGATTAATCTTTGTTGATAAATATGCATCCTGAGGGCATTGGTTCCATATAGCGTTATGTAACGAGTCTAGTAATGTTGGGTTGTATGTTATTGTACTATATTTCGTAAACCCTTACCAGTTGCAATAAGACTCATACAGATACTAGAGTAACAATGCTCATTAACTTCTTCATTTAGTGGGGAATTCAATACATTGTACAAACTAATCAAACAAAGGAAGGTAATAAATAGATCATCAATGTTTAAACATTATATAAGATACCGTTCTCTGACATTTCTATACGACATGGATGATAGTAAATGATTATGCAATGTTCACTCGTTGCATACATTTTCACCAAGTTAATTGAAATTTTAAACACTGAATTATAGAAGATCAGATGAGGATTTGTAGAAAGTTTGACTTCCATTTAAAAAAAAATATTTTAATGAAACATTTATACATATAACTTAATCGTACAACTACTAATAATAGCAGTAAAACCACTACTGCAAATACTTGTATTTTACATGATTTTCGTTATGAGTAAATATTTTATCTTAGTATGGGACTATTCTACAACAATGTCCATGCGCGACTCCATTGGGAATCGAACCCAAGACCTTCAGGCCTCATGGTTAGTGTTTGATCATTAGATCACTGATCTGGCATCTAATGGTTAACAAGTTTAAATTCAATCAAGTCGTGAAATTTTTAAATCATCCTATATTATTGACAAGTAACTGCCTTACATTCCAAATCGTTGAACTCCTCTCATCACGATTTCTTACTGAAATCCTATCTGGAAAAGGGAGGTGTCTGTAGAAATAACTTGATTTCATGGTTTACATTTACGAACTGATCTTGATTAGACAAATATATTATATCAAATAGGTTTATTTGAATCAAAATGTTAGAAAAAAAAGTTAATCAAATGATAATAATTTATTTACCTGGTAAGAGTTTGTAAAACCCGGATGATCAAGATCATGTGACAAAGCGGAGAACAATAGAATCAGTAAATCCACTGAGGATAAATACAATGGTAAATTTACCATTTTAATGATACAATACATCTGACAGAAAAGAGAAAAAAACAGGAAGTAAAAAGAGAACAGATAAAATACAATGGTTATAATGTTGTTTTTTTCATAGTCGCTGTTTATAATATTCACTTATTTGTGTATCTCTCCTTTTATCATTTCGATCTCAATCAATAATATTTGTATAGGTAGACAGACGAAAAAAATATGAAACAAAAATCGTGGTGAATAGTTATTTCAATTTATTGTATAATCACTTTATATATATTCCATGACTATTTTCTTTAGGGTATTACCTTGAAGAAGTCCAGACAATTTAGCTGGACGAAACGTTGAAATGATTTAACTTTCAATTGCTGAGATTATTTCAAATATAATTCATACATATAATGACTTTTCTATACTCGGCGCCCAATTTCTGTCAAACTATCTAATGGTTGTGACTTTGAATTTGAAGTTAATTCAATTCTCTCCAAGTGTTCGTGTGTTTTAATGAAGATTGTAGTGTTGTATTAGTATTCATCGGTAATACTAATTAAATAGTATACTTGATTATACAATAATTAAAATAGTTATTCATTACGAGTATACAGTAGAGGTTAGTAATTAGCGAAAAATAAACCACTATCTATCTATGTATATATACGAATACATAAATGCACATAGAGTAGATGAATTCAATATTTGTCTTCTCTTAGATTTTGAGTTTACGAATTATATTATACTTTTCTATTGTTGAATCATATTGTATATATCTAATCTCTTATCATACCAGTAATATTGTAAATATTAGTTCTGTTACTCTAATATTTGTCTTGATTATTTTTATTTGGCTCTATTGATTTAATGTGACAAATTAAGCTAACGTACATAATTGACAGGTACTATGTTGCTTTTGATTAACTGATTGACTGATATTGTAAGAAAGTTGAGTTGAATGAAAGTAAACTGCAACTGTTTCGAAATTATTTTACGGAGAAACATGATATTTTAAACTATGCTCTTAGAAAATGATGCTTCAAATTAAATAAAATTTGTTGACTAAAACAAAATTGAGAAACTTTACAAAACTCATTTATTTACTATACATACACAAAACATCTGACTAGAATCTGGTCGTCAGACTTCAGTTTAAGAATATATATATATATATATATATATATATATATATATATATATATATATATATGGGTTGTTTGATAGGATGAAACGTGCATCCTGGGTTTCAGCGCTAGCCACTATCTAACTCTGCTTAAAATATTAGTTGTAATTTATTTCTGTTAATTGATATTCAGGTACCTATACATGATATTCCGATAGATACCAGTCTGATAACAGCCTGGATGAACGCTTTAAAATATCCAGGATTGACTGAATTTCATTTGCTAATTAACAGAAGATAAGTTTTTGTTATCACCCAAAGCCGCCAATCAGAAACAGCGAATTATCGATCGGACCAAGGACGCGTAAAACACGCGCGAGCAGCCTAGAGTCCTGATTGGTCTCGCTTCCTGTCTAGCCCAGCCAGTTAACTCCAGAACACCAATCTCAGCCTCTGCAATATGAATCCTTATATTTCAAACATACTGAGTTTATATACCAATCAAACAGACTACAACGTACCAATAAAATATGAAACAACATTTGTATAAAATTTGGATAAATGTGGCTGTGAATGTAGGAGGTAGTAATTAATAGATTAGGCATAATTCAAGAATGGTAAAACGTATAATAATGGTTCATAGGTCAAAATAAAGCTTATAATAAGAGGAACATGAATATGAGTAGTTTAGTTATTTAACATTTATACGATAATAATATACGTTTAGTGTTGGTCCATAAAAGGATCCCAAAGTTACCATTCATTATGTTTATCGGGACCTAACAGTTTTACAGTCTGAAAATATTTCCATATAAAGTGTTCGTATTCCATGCTCAACTTACATCTTATAAGGCGTTTTTCATGCATCAGTTCAAATCTCAAAAAAATAACTCACATTCAGTATAACACATCCAGACATACAGTGAAAAAGTTTGCATATTTGTACTAATCTCATAGACAAAGTGATAGTGTAAACACTGAAGATCGGTGTAAGTAAATGTTAGTTTCATCGAAGAAAAGAAATAAATATAAGCATTACAGTAGCGAGAAACATCTGTTGCTCAATGTAATAAGTGGATTTCTTTTAGCAAGCTATTTAAAAACTCTGGTTTATCCAACTTTTTTTCGAAAGCTATGTAGTTGATATTATGCATATGTACTGTTATTTGCTATATTAAATACTGCTACAAGATTACAAATTAAGAGAAAAATTCACAACATGAATTCAGGCTATTTAAAAATGATTCATTATCTTACAGAGGAAGAATGAAAAGAAAAACAGAATATTTTGGCTAACCAGTGACGATAATATGGTGAAAGCATGTGTGTGAGTTGTGGTGTATGCTACTTATGTCTGTCGACATAAGTAGTATGTAACACATATCAGAAGTGGAGGGCCTGACAACAGAAGGTTGAGAAGATTAAATTGAAGAGAACAGAAATATAAACAAATAATAACTGTGGTAACAATAGAAATGGAGGAACGATGAAGCATTTGAGAAACAATTTATAGAAAAGGTGCAAATGACGTATTTAATGTATGATTTTCTTATTTTACCAAGACATTCTATAATTTTGCAATAAACAATGAGTTCTCACTCACTACAGTGTGAGTATATGTGGCATTTTATAGAGTAATCATCTAGTGTGATACTGAAAACTAACTGCTATCTGTGCACATACGACATTTCAAGGTCAAAATTTACGCCAGAAATTATAACTGAAGTAAGCTGTTAGACGAATTCGGTTAAGCACTTAGTGAAGACCCCATTAGCCTAAATGTCCCTGTTTGTGTCAGAATGATAATCGTATATACACCTATGATTTGTGTATATTATGGTTCGGTTTAGCAATTAAGCCTTCCCACTTATTTCACTCTTGTCATTTGTACTGTAGGTATATAGTAACTGAATCACACTACTGAACACAACAATCTTCTGAGAATTATTTATCATTGGTTGAGATCATGAGTCAGTTGAAGCTAGACCACCATGGAAAATCTGGAAGAACTGGACGGCCGTATCGTCCTATTGTGGGACTCCTCAGTAGCGTGAACCCACGATCTCGCCCCCTGAGAGATTCGAACTTAGGACCTATCAGTCTCGCGCACAAGCCCCTAACCATTAGACCACTGGGCCGGCCGGTATCCAACGGTGTTAATGTCTAACTTTAATTAATTTATCAGTTGAGATCTTGAGAATCATAATCATGAACAAATTACAAATTGGATCACTTCAGTCACTGTAATATTTTATTAATTATACAATCATCACACGCACTGCTTTTTATGTTATATTACTTATTATGAGACATAAGAAACAAACAATAGATTAAATTTGGCATATACAATAATTCTGAACAATTATGCATGAATAAGTTATTTATAGTTAGTTCATAAAATAACTTCAAAGTGTTGACAAAACAAAATAATTCACTTGTCGTTCCATAACAACATGAACACAGACATAATAAGTGAATATTAAATTGTCTGGCTAATAAAATGATCATCAACCTATCAAAAGAATTACATTTCTCTCTCTCTCTCTTTCCCTCAGTTCTTAACACATTATATGTTGCCGTGTTAATCTTTATTGTAAAATGGTAAGCACGTATAGAATTAATTAGTGTATTATTACTATTATTATTTAATTTTAACTAAATGATGACGTGTGTAGAGGATAATTTCGAATAGGCGGTGAATATAGAAACAAAACAAACAAACAAAAAAAGTAGATATTATGAAATGTTAGGGACTTTTAAATGATAAAATCGAATCATTTCCATTATGTATCAATATATTTGCATGAAATACGATAGATTACATTTGTTATTTTATTAGAAAAATGAAATATATCGGGAAACAAAGGATACTTTGATTAAAACACATTAAAATATATCATGCTATAATACAAAGAAATATTATCTTATATTGAACAACAAGAGATTGAAATTACATAATAGTTTTTGTAAGCAGGATAAAGTCCTAATTGATTAATAGGCTTAAATCATGGAATTGATTGATGAGTTAACGAGCGATGTTTTATGGTGTAGGAGTAGGTTGAAAGAAAGCTGGTGGCGGCCAGATCAAAACATGGCACAAATCCATGAAGTCACTGACAAGTGGACTGAGCCATGTTGGTAGATGTAGACTACCTGGTTGGGGACCACGAAATGGTAGCGAACGATGGTTAGAGACCTTGAATGACATGGCTGAAAATGGTTTGCAATGGTGCAGGTGCATCTACTCTTTGTGTTCTGCCAAATTCTAATCTTCTGAATTCTTCATGTCCCTTTCTTTTTTTTCTCTTTCCAATTTTATTTTACTGGATTATACTCGTTGAGTAACGTGTTCAAAGCCTAATGTTTCCGATTACTGCTTATACTTTTACTACCTCTACCACTGTGGGATTTGAATCGACAATTGAATCTCTGTTTTAATGTGGTATAGCAACTTGAACTGATGCACATATGTACGAAGTTCTACGCTGTTGTTGACTGACTAATTAACTAACACTGATGAGTCTATTTTTTCAACTAAACAGAACTAGTAGATGATTCAAGAAGATGTCACAAGATTATTGTGTAAATTCTAATATAATCTTCAGTATTTCAACTACTGTATCTTGGTTGTATTTTTGGCTTTATTAGAATTCATATTGTTTATTTTCAATTCTTGTTTTAATTTCGGAAGAGTTTAGTGAAGTATTATGATTAGGAAATACTGAACAAGCAAAGAGCATAATAGTTTTTAGTAAGGAAGATTAAATGTCAAATAAAATGTAGAAATATATTATATAAAATATAATTTAAATGTGTCATATTCTTACAATTCTACTTTGGAACTAATACACTATCTAGGCTTGTTTAAAATCGGCATAGTAACTCATTTATACACCAAATACACTTTTATGTTAATCAGCTTTCAGTCAGA